CCTTTCTTACTTGTATTACATATGGGGAGTGGGCAGAGGGGCTCAAAAAAACTCCAGAATAATCTTTTGCAGGGTTGGGCCCCTTGTAGTACAGGTTTCCTCCGCTAGGTAAGTGTTCTAGGAACCGATCGGCATCAGTATAGCAGGTAGCGTTGTTTTGAGAGGCTGCATTTGCTTCAGTTAAATTTTTTTGGAGATTCTTTCAACATGTTTGCCTGTTTCATGATGGGTGACTTACCAGAGCACCTGCCCACACTGCGTTGAGTGTTCAGCAGATGTTGATCAAAAATGGCATTATCTCCATGCCCCACCCTCCCTATTCACCCGATCTCACCCCAAGTGACATTTTTCAATTTCCCCAGATGAAAGTTCTCAAAGGGAAATGTTTTGCTGATGTGGAAGAGGTGAAGCAAAATCAGCAGAAGTACTAAAAGGCATCAAAATTGATGGGTTCAAAAACTATTTTGGATAGCGGAAATAGCATCTGGATAGGTGTTTTGCATCAAACAGAGAGCACTTTGAAGGTGACTGAAGTTCAAATAAATACAGAATTTTTTTGTCCATAAATTCCAGGTTTTTTGGGTCCCCCTCAATATTGATAATTTTCTGGTGATGAATAGAGCACACCTCCATTCTCTTCCTCCCTCCCCCCCAAAATTAATTTTTGTAGTACCAATGAGAACTTTTCCTTTTGTGAAGTACTAGTTCTAGTCACATTATAGTGACAGAGGTTTAAAATGAATTAGCTTTTCAATATATTGAGTTTTCTTTATGAAAACTAATACTATAAAGTAGGGTGAGCAAATCTTTCTGTAAAGAACCAGGAAGTAACTATTTTAGGCTTTGTGGACCATCTGGCCTGTTGCAACTACTCAATTTTGCTGCTGTAGTACAAAAGCAGTCATGCAGTAGTGGGAAACTGCCAGGGGAGTGGGAGTGGGATTGGCAGTTGAAGGAAACTGCTAGGGGAAGGAGGGGTACACCTCATCAACAGGGTACCTGCATAATCAACATTTGTATACCTAACCCTGAATTGCATCCCACATCTTTAAAATTTTTTTAAAAGGCAGACATGGACAATATTTAAGCAAATGAAACTGGTTGTGTTCCAATTTTTTATTGAAAAGGTTATGGTTTGAATTTCTCTGCTGTAGGGAAAACTCCTGTATGGTAGTTTTAAGATATATGGTCTTAGGAGGTGTTACATCAATTCCAAAATTCATCCTGCTACAATTATTTACTTCAAACTCTTTTTTTGTTGTTGTTTTTTGCGTTGGAGTCTCACTCTGTCGCCCAGACTGGAGTGCAGTGGCCGCTCTCGGCCACCGCAGCCTCGACCTGCTGGGCTCCGGCGATCCTTCCGCCTCAGCCTTCCAAGTAGCTGGAACTACAGGCACATGTTACTGCGCCCAGCTAATTTTTGATTTATTGTCGAGATGAGGTTTCGCCAAGTTGTCCAGGTGGGTCTCCAACCCACGGGCTCAGGCAATCCACTCACCTCAGCCTCCCAAGGCTCGGGATTACAGGCTGAGCCACCGAGCCCGACTTACTTCAAACTCTTTACTCCTATTAAGAGATGTATTCCTCCAGCCTTGCAGGAAATCTAAAGTCTGGGATATGTAATTGTTATAGGTACACTTCGTAAACTAATAGTAGGTAAACCCAGAAGTGAAATGTTTTGCAAAGATCTTCCACCCTCATTGAACAGTTTTTAAATTTATGTTCATGAACAAAATTGTCTTAATGTGAAGTCAATCTCTATATATTCTCAGTAAACAATTTAAAATTTCGATATGCAGAAAGTTAAATGATTTTGATCATAGGTAACTATATTAGAAGTTACTACTTGGGTAAAATTTGGATAAAATATGTGTTAATTACTCCAGTTTTTCACTGTGGGAAATATAGTGAAAACAGAGGCTTGGTTTCTACTCTTAAATCATGTGAATTCCACTTAGCAGACACACAAAACACTTGAAACCACATGACAAGTAAATAATTAAGAGAGAATGAAGTCAGATCAGGAGAGACTGTTGAGTAACTAAAGTCAGTGTATATGGAGAAGAAAGTAAAGTCAATATGAACTTTGAAATTCTCTCCCAAGCAACATAATTATGTTTCCCTCTATCATTGGCTAACAATACTCAAAAAATAGATGCCAGATAAAACAACTGGCTCATATTAAAAATCTGCATTATACCAAAATGTGCATATTTGCTTATAGAATAGCACTGAGCATGGATAGATACTCTTTTTCTGACATGGGTGCTGAAAGAACTCAAGCAGAAACTGATCCATACCTCTCATCCTGTAATCCTTTTGCAACTTGAACTCTTTAAATGAAATGGCATCTATAATTCCTAAGATTATGTAAAACATGTCTTGCTCCTTTTGGATTGAGTATGTATATGTCTGTTAGGTCTTGCCATAAAAGTGCTATGTAACAAATCATTTCAAAACGTGTTGGGTCGAAACAATAATTATATATGGGTCAGATTGGTGTCAGCAGGGCTAAGCAGGACTTGGCTGGAAGGGTCCAGCTCTCCCCAGCTGAGCTCACTCATGCATCTGTGGCCTATTGAGGTGCGTAGGGGAGCAGGTGATGCAGAAGGAGCTCAGATTAGAATAACTGTGATCCATATTTCTTTCGTCTTCCATCTGGGTCAGTAGGTTGGCACAAGTAAGTCCTTTTCGTAGAAATGGCAGAAGACGAGAGACAGCAAGCCTAGTGACTCAAGCACTTTTTGAAACTCTACATGTATTGCATGTACTAACATTCTGTTGGTCAAAAAATATCACATGGCTGAGCCCAGTGGCAAGGATCAGACCTTGCCCAGAGTGGGAAGAATGGAAAAGCTAAATTACAAAGAACATACATACAAGAAGGGACAAAGAATCAGAACTATTGGTACAATTTATCACTTGACCTGATTAGATTAAATTTAACATGAAGTGAGATTAAGTGCTAAACAAGAAAACTATTAACTTCTTCGGATTACTAGGCTATACTAAAGCAGTAGTTCTGAAACTTTTTAGAAATAAAAACCTTTTATATGCTTAAAAATCATTGAGGATCTCAAAGAGGATTTGATATTGAGTCTAACTGAATCTATATTTAATGCATTTGTAATTAAAATAGAATTTTAAATTTATCTATCTATTTATTTATTTATTTTAATTGGTGTCTCGCTCTGTTGCCGAGGTTGGAGTGCAGTGGCACAGTCACAGCTCCCTGCAGCCTTGACTTCTGGCTCAGGCAATCCTTCTGCCTCAGTGGGACTACAGTCATGTGTCATCAAACCTGGCTAATTTTTTTATTTTCAGGTTGTGTGGTTTTTTTGGGGTTTTTTTGGTTTTTTTTGTAGTGAGAAAGTCTCACTATGTTGCACAGGTTGGTCTCAAACTTCTGGTCCCAAGCAATCCTTCCTCTCACCTTGGCATCCCAAAGTGCTGGGATTACAGGCATGAGCCATTTCACCCAGCCTTACTTATTCATTTAAAAATAATAACAAATCCATTACAAATTAACACAAGTAATATAGTGTAATAAAAAAGCAATATTTTCTGAAAAAAATAGCATTGTTTATATTTGACAAATTTCATTCACATCTGACTTAATAGAAGACAGCAGGTATTTTCTACCTTCTTTGTATTCGGTCTCTTTTTTTCTCTAGATGAAGTTTATGAAGAAAATTGGTACACATGCAGATATATAGCCAGAAAAGACTAGCTCTGTTTTTTTTACAGTACACTCTGCTAGTTAATATTGCATTTTGAATAGATCTTTTATCAATGAATAATACGTATGTAACATCAAGCGTTGGTCATTTGGAAAATAATGGTTCATTGAATTAGGTGTATTTCCCAAATATTGACATATTTAACTACATAATATTTTAAAAATTATATTTTACTACTAAACCTAGAAATATATCTTAATATTGGGAAGCAGTCATACTCATGAAAGCGGATACAAGTTTTCCAGTGTTCTATATTCTGTTGGAAACTCTAATTTTGTCACTGGGAGAAAATACTATGGGTTGTTTGTGTTGAATTAACACTCATTTCATTCACTTTCAGAAGACTGTCAAATGCCCACACGTGAATTACCGTTGTTTGTCAGCAACTCTTTTATGCTGAAATGACTCTGCATGAAATAAAATTGACTAGTTCCCCCTTGCAACTCAAATAATTGGATTAGTGCATTGTTTTGAGATAACCACCTTGCTTCAGAATGTGACCTATTATTTTATACATAGTTCCCACATTAAATGTCAAAAATATGAGAATTAAGGTGTTGCAATTTTTTTTTTTTTTTGAGTTGGAGTCTCACTCTGTCACCCAGACTGGAATGCAGTGGCTGCTCCCGGCCACCACAGCTTGAACTTGCTGAGCTCTGGCGATCTTTCCGCCTCAGCCTTCCAAGTAGCTGGAACTACAGATGCGTGCTACCATGCCCAGCTAATTTTTGATTTATTGTAGAGATGAGGTCTCACCAAGTTGCCCAGGCGGGTCTCGAATCCGCGGGCTAATCCACTCACCTCAGCCTCCCAAAGCGCGGGATTACAGGCTGAGCCACCGAGCCCGGCTGCAATTTAATGAAAATAGATTATTTTTACAGCCTCAACAAGGAGATTTTTAAGTGAAACTTTGTCCCGCCTGCAAGTGAAGGGCTAGGACAAAAGCAGGACTGCTAGTACACTGCCTTGCCCCTGCCAGAGTACCAGCAGTTTTCCCCATCACTGCTTTTGCATTATCAGTGAAAATGTCAACCCAGTTAAAAAAGCAAGGAATGTCTTTGTATTACGAAAATTGCTTATATTTGGCAGGCCTCCTAAAAGATTCTTAAGAATTGTGGATCATACTTTGTGAACCACTGCATCAAGAGTGAACCATTAATTATGGTATAGTAGCTCGTCAAAGATTTTCTTGAAGATATTTGTATTTACTGTTTCTAATCATTAAGCAAATTCAAAACTTCTAATTTTGTTCTTCCCTAGGGTTGTTTCGTCGGCTTTGATCTAGCACACGCAGTTGGAAATGTTGAACTCCACTTACATGACTGGGGAGTTGATTTTGCCTGCTGGTGTTCCTACAAGGTACAAACTAGTTAATGTATTTACATCCTCTTATTTCATAATCACATTAATCTAAGGGAAAAATGACCAATGGGCCAATTTTAATTATTTGAATTAGTTTCCCTATTTTTAAAATTGTTATATTCTCTGATTTTAGTTAACAGTGGAATCACATGATAGAATAATATGAGTTATAATTTAATTTTAGTACTTCTATCAACCTAGAGAACTTATTCCTCAACTCATAGGCTACTATTAAAAAGTCAGGAAGTTCCAGAGAAAAAAACCCACACTTAGAATTTAATTCAAATTGATTATTTTAGTTTTTATTGCTTATGTTATGAAATTTCCACATATGTAAAGATACTTTTAAAGAATCAACTTGGTATTAGAGAAAAACTTAATTGACAGGGAGCATGAAAATGAAACCAGTGTTAGTTTTTAAAAATATGATACTTCTATTACTATTAAAATATCTTATGGCAAAAATAATTTAAATGCATGAATTTTTAAATCAAAGAGATTTCAATGGAACTGCTGTCAGCTAACTGGGGCAAAATTTGGCCAAAATGTAAAAGCTATTTATTAACATAATAGTACTATTTTTCACTTGGTTTTTCTTTGAAGAAGTTGATCTTTTTTTTTTTTTTTTTTATAAAAACTTAAATAATCACACATTTTGAACTGGTAACAGATTGTGGGTTCATAACAAAATTCAAATGATTACCTTGTTTATTTTTTGTTACATATTCAAATAAATCCATACTATTTAATTTATTTTCAATCCAGTATTTAAATTCAGGAGCAGGAGGTCTTGCTGGTGCCTTTGTCCATGAGAAACATGCCCTCACAATTAAACCTGTGTGAGTATCATTTTCAGATACTTCTTGGTGATGAACAGATTTAATGTGCATTAATAATATGCCAAGTTTATATGAGTTCTTTAAGATGCTATCCATTAAGAATCTGGGGTGCATTATAATTATTCTATTACTCTGTTAATAATAATATACTTTATCCAAAATAAATACTTTCCAAAGAGTTCAGTTGGTTGAACAAGAAATTTAATCAGAAAAGGGAAGCTTCAATGCTAAAAATGAATCATTGCAATCATGTAGAGCAGATGGTTTAATGCAAAGAGACCACTTGATTTTTTTTCCAAAAATTAGACTTCAGAAAATTTCAGATTCCTCGCATTGATGAATAAATCAAAGGCAACCTCAGAGCTGTGCCTAATAGAGTCTTAAATGTGGCATGTTATTATTAAAATTACAGCTACCTTTAAAGCTATAAATGTTACATGATGGCTTGTAGGGAATATCTTCTGTCCTAAAAGACTTTATAATCCATGAAACTGGAGGAAGCTGAACCCTGAACAACAGACTGACTACATAAAAAGTAATACTTTTCTATTTTATAGAACTCTTCATTTTTTGGAGGAAGTATAAATGCAAATGCAATACACCAACAAATTTACACATTTTTATTTGACTGGGGAGCTCATAAGTTTTCCTTTTATTTTTATCTGGTATGGAGATAAAGAAATAATATTCCAGGAAGAGGAAAAAAAGCCTTTTCATAGTTGTATTGGAGTATGTGTGATGAGAAGACTGACCAGACGCCTAATAGATAATATAGTAATATTTTATTAGTTTTCTGAAACTTCTCAGTCACTGGTTGAGTGGTATAATCTTTATAAGAATTGAAACTGAATTAGTAATAGCGTTGGAAGCACCTCACATTTCTGAAGTTCTATGCATATAAATCCTAGGAATTTAAGATTATTTTCTGTAGTTTATTTAATCATATATTCTTTTCAAGATTCTAAGGTTTTAAAATTAGACAGGGCTTTTTATTTAGATAGGTATTTAGTCAAGTAGACATTTTCCTTGAATATATTGTTGTCAATACATTACATTTCTCTTCATACCCCAAACTCTCTAAATGTATGAAGCATGTTATAAGCGTTCTGTGCATATCTGAAAAGTCTCTCTATTTTATTTTTAGTGAATCCCATTGATAACGTTTCACCTACATATTTTTTACCACATAGACAGTATGTTAGATGTTGCTAGCTTTTGTATGCTGACTCACCACCCTCCCCATTTCTCATTCTCTATGTATTTAAATTGTAATCGAGGACTCAATATATTGTATCTATCCAAAGGGCAAGCAAGTGGGGCAGGGGCTGGGGCAGAGGAAGTCACCACAAATTCTAGAGAATGCCAGTGTTTGGAGTTCAGCTCTGTTCATACAGCACAGGTCTGTTATACTTGGGATTTCTCTCACCATGGACGAAGAACAGTGGCAGATGAAGAAGTTATAGTATTTTCATTTTGTGAAATTTCAGAATCTTCTAGACAATGTTTAAATACACATTAATCCTATGCTTCCAGGAGAAACACCATCTAGGCAGACTGGGTTCACAGTGTAGCTTCATCTCTTGGTGGTCTGTAACCTGAAGAATACTCTTTGACCTCTCAGTGTTCTGGTCTCTGAATAGCTATGATATCAGTACCTGCCTCATAAGCAATTATTGTGAGAATACAATGAAACGATGCTTGTAAATAACTAAGTGTAGCCACTTAAGTATTTTCTATGATCAATCACCACCTATATGAAAAACTTCCAAAATTTGGGAAATAAAGAAAAAAGATGAGTGACACTTAAAAAAGGTCATTGTGGCATGCTTTAACAGCCTTACCCAAGTATTATTTAAGAATTATTTAGTACTTACCCTAGGTACTTTTCTGACTCACTGTAAATTTGTGTGTTAGCATGTAGTCTTTTACCCAGTAGAGATCATTTCTTTCAAGCAGGGAAGATAATCCCAAAGGTTCTGATCTGTGCCCATGTAGGACATTAAATTGTATCTGTCACCAAGTTTATATCAGCAGGCCTTTGATGACAGTAGAAATCTCCATTCCTTGAATTATCTCTTATACCAGCCATTCTACTATCTTACTGATTTCCACATTAATTAGTGAGTTGAGTGAGATGTTTCATGTGTGTCCATTTCATATGTGTTTGAGAGTCACGCTTTTAACTTTTTTTGAAAACTCTATGTTATTAGTTATTGTTATCTAGCATTTTGACTATCTTGCAGTGGAGACTGACAGAACTCAAATCAGACTTGATTAGTGATTGCTATGTTATGGGAAGCCTTGGTTACGGTTGTTTTTCTGTTTATTTATATTTTCACACTCTTAAAGCTTCTTTTTCCGTGACGTCAGTGACTAAATTCAGTACTGGCAACTTCCAGCCTTAGCTCACTCTTCTGTACCAAGTATTATGTATTATATTTAATTTGTGTTGGGGGATTCAAGCTCTTTAATTAGGAATGGGTTGCAGCAGGTTTAGACAAGACAAGGTCAAGCTATTTTCAAATAATCTGCTTATTGTCCTTGACAGAAAAATAAATGTTTTGCTAAAACTTCACTTTGTGTCTCAAAGTGTGTTTTACTTCTTTATGCATCTGCAAACTAAATGCCCCTGTGGGAAGAAAAGTTGTAGAGTAAGCAATGAAAAGACAGAAAGCTGAAAATATTACACTTTCTGAATAAGGCTACTTGCCTAGGTATTACAATGATGTTCAAGAAATGAAAGCATTTTGAAGATGGGGGAGAGGAAATTTTCTTGTGGGTAATATTTATATTACATAGGTCAGATCCAACTTAGAAATTTTCAGTGTGAGTACTGACTCTATTGCCAGTTAATAATTATATTTCAGTTATTAGGACTCCAAGATCAGCTGATTTAACTGTGTTAAATAAACCTTGTTGCCTTACTTTTTTTTTATATCTTATAACTATAGAGAAACTAAAGAGTTTTTCCCTGTTCAGATAGTCAGTATGTTGCTGAGAACCATATGGAGAACATCAAATACAGAGGAACGAAAGTAACTGCTGTTGATGTTGTATACTTTGTGAAGTCGTCTTTGTTGCTTAAAATAGGGTGACATCTAGTGGCAATGTATTTTATTTCAACTAAGTAATATCTAAACACTTCCTAGTGCATTCACCCTTTAAAAAGTATTTTTAGATAGATAGATAGATAGATATTTAAATTATATGTTTTTATTTTTGACCATTTGACTATATATTTACAGCTCATTAATTGTTTAGTTAAACCTTAAATAAAGAGAAAACAAGATGAGGCCTGGGAGTAAAGTGAGGAGGCATTCCAGGTGCATGGTTAAGCAGAATGCTGAGATGTTCAAGGCTGGGGTAAGAGAGGTATTATAGCAACGGTGGCCCACCTGGTGTAGAGAATGGATTGCAGGATATGTAATACAGCATTCTAGAAGCTTAATATTTGATCTATATACTCTGGAAACTATCTTTTATGTGGTGTTTCCATTAGCAACTGGCAAATTACATCTGTACCCAAAATGTTCATTTTCTTTCTTTCTTTTTTTTGTTTAAATAGGCATTCTGGCCATTGTTCAAAATGAATGACTTAAGACTTTTTCCAGGAGCCCTTGGCCCATAAAGAAAATAAGTAAATTAGAGGCCAGTGTCAATCCACTGCATTAAGCATCATAACTCAAGCTGTTATTCTCAACTAGAATTTAACCTTTTCCCAGTTCATCATCACCTGTTCTCATTGCAATGCCATATTCTAAATCTTGTCTGTAGTGAAGGACAGTAAAGTAGGACTGGCTATGAATACCTGATTTCCTGGGTGTTATCTCCCCACTTCAGGGCAGACTTCAGTCTATAGGGTTAATTTTTGCTCTGAAATATGAAAGGAGATGCTTTTAATAGTACAAATTAAACAATCAGAAACATACCACTTTAAAAAGTACTTTAATAGCCTTGAATTTTTATTACCATTATGGTACATTTTTAGAGAAATATTTAACCTTTTGATTTAGAAGATTCAAAGACAACTGAGTCCCATGATAGGATTTCTTTGTAAGATTCCATAGATAGCATCCTTTCTTTTTTATTTTTTAGTAGAGATTCTACTATGAAAACAGAAATGGATCATATAAGTTCTAAAAATTCCTTATATCACTTACTTTTTCCTTCCTTCCTTCCTTCCTTCCTTCCTTCCTTCCTTCCTTCCTTCCTT